TTTGCTGACTATGATCCCAAGGAATTTCCCTGACTTCACGTCGAAGACACACTTCTTCGGATTCAGCTTCATTTGATGCTTTCTTAAGGTGGCGAAAGTTTCAGCCAGGTCCTTAACATGGTCCTCAGGTTTTTTGCTTTTGACGATCGAATCGTCGACATAGACTTCCATGTTTCGGCCCTTTTGATCGGCAAAAACTTGATCCACCAGCCTTTGAAAGGTTGCCCCCGCATTTTTCAATCCGAAGGGCATCATTTTGTAATTGTACACCCCAGCGTTCGTGACGAATGCTGTCTTTGCTCGATCGTCGGGGTGCATGAAGATCTGATGATACCCCGAGAATGCGTCCATGAAACTAAGCAAGGCATGGCCACTTGTCGAATCGACTAGCTAATCGATCCTCGGCAAGGGATAGAAATCCTTCGGACAAGCCTTATTTAGGTCCGTGAAGTCAACGCACATCCTCCAGGTACCATTGGGCTTCTGAACCATCACCACATTTGCCAGCCATTCTGGATATTGGCAAGGTTCGATGAATCCTGCCTCCAGCAATTTTTTGACCTCGGCTGCGATGTCTCGGTTCTTATTAGCGGAGTAATTCCGCTTCTTTTGCTTAACTGGTCGACACGTTGGGTCAACATTAAGCTTATGGGAGATGAGGTCTGAACTTATCCCGGGCATATCAGCTGCCGAGAAAGCAAACACATCTCTGTTGTCCCGAAGGAGCTGAATAAGTTCACAACGGGTGTTCGGATCAAGGTCCATCCCGATTGTTTTACATTTCTCAACGTCTCCTTCGGCCAGCTCAACTGTTTCAGTCTGTTGGTCCATGTCCATTGCTGATGGACTGGACTCCTCATAATCTGGCCTGCTGCCAATGTCAGCAGGTGTCCCAGTCTTTTTGTTCTTCGGCTGGCTCTCTAAGTGTTGCGGCTCAGCTGAAGAGCTAGCCTTTTCCCTTTCGGGCACTTTATCTGGGTTCAGATCCTTGAGCCGAAGCACTTAGGACTTTCGTCTTTTTGGTGCTTGGCTCTCTTTCTTTTTCTTTCTCCTCCTCATCCTTGTCGTCGTCTGGGCGACTACTGGATGGCTTGAGGTAGTTGCACCTTCGGGCGTCCTTTTGGTTGCCCTGTATCCTTTCGGGGAAGCTGGCGTCTGAGACGTAAATCATCAGCTGATGATAAGTTGAGACGACCCCTTGGATCTCATGAATTATGGGTCTCCCCAAAATCACGTTGTACACTGAAGGAGCGTCAATGACAAAAAAATCAATCATGACGTTCCTGGCTGCCTCATCGCAGCCGATGGTGACAGGAAGTGTCACCTTCCCATCTGGATAAGTTGAAGCCCCGTTGAACCCGGATACCGGGTAGGGTACCGGCGTAAGGTGCTTGGGCTTCAGCTTGATTTGATTGTAGGCCTTTCGGAACAGAATGTTTGCTCCGCTGCCACCGTCAACAAGGACCTTACTGACGTCGTGGTTGGCCACCGTGGCGATGATTACCAACGGATCCTCGTGAGGGAACGCTATCCCCCGGCAGTCGGCGGCTGTGAACGTCATGTTCGGCACCGGCGACTGGGGAGATTGAATGTCAGCGTTGTTCACCTGGTGAGTCAAAGCTCTAAGGTGTCGCTTGTGCTCCCTCCGAGAGTATATTCCTGCCGAGATAACATTGATCGGAGAGATTTTCCCCTCCGGCTTTTTACTGTTCTTCCGGGGGAAGTCGAGGTCTTGCCGAGAGTCCTTTGCTGACTTCTCGGATTCTTTTTTCTCGCGGTGATCCGCGATGTATTTTTTCAAGTATCCCTTCCGGACCATGTCCTCTATCTGGTCCTTCAGTTGGATACACTCCTCAGTGTTGTGTCCCGAAGACTCGTGGAACTCGCACCATTGATTTTTATTTTTTCGCTGATACCACTCTGGGAGTGGTCTCGGCTTTCGGTAACTCTGCTCCTCCTTCGTCACGCTGTAAATTTTGGCGCGGGGAAGAGAGAGCGGAGTGTAGGACTCGTATCTGCCTGTGTTTGAGGCAGATCTTTCCTTCTTTGGGTCGCTGGCCGAAGATTGCTCCGAGGCCTTTGACTTTCCCTTTTCCTTATGGCCTTGGCCTTCAGACAAGGGTATTTGTCTTTGTTTCCCTCCCCCAAATTGAGGTTGGGTTTTCGCTTTGTTCCATTCTTCGGCTCGGATGAACTTATCCGAGGCATTCAAAGCTTCCTCCAAGGTCTGCGGGGTATGCATGACCATGAAGTCTAGGAACTTTCCGGGCTGAAGGCCATTCTGCATTGCAAAAACGGCTAGCCCCTGGTCCAGCTGAGAGACGCTGGATGACTCGTTACTGAAACGGGTCAGATAGTCTCGGAGGCTTTTGGTTTCCCCCTGTTGTAGACTCATGAGCTCTGCAGTAGTCTTCTCTCGGCGGTTTGCCGTGGAAAACTTGCTCCTGAACTTGGTGGACAAATCATCCCACCCTGTTATGGAGCCTTGCCTTACTCCCTTGGAGATCTACGCTTGCGCGACCCCCTTGAGAGTGGTTGGGAAATATTTGCACCAAGTCGCTTCGGATCTGGGGCAAAGATGCATATGAGTCTCATACGAGGCCACGTGATCCTTCGGATCCGAGGTCCCGTCATATGTGATGTGCGACGGTATTTTAACCGTGGGTACGCGCTCTTCCAGTATCCATTGCTCGAATGGTGAACTGGCGGGTAGCATAACGGCCTTGCCCTTGTTCCTGGCCGAAGGGACCGCGCTCCGCCCTCTTAGAGAGGTAGGAGTGGTTTTCGTCCCTGGCTGGGAAGTCTGGGCCTCGGCTGCAGGGAACGAGAGGCGACTGCGCACACTCGGTTCCTTGCCGCCGAGTCGGTCGAGGACGCTTCGGCGAACCGTCTCAGGTTCTCGGTGAGTAGATTCTGGCCGAGAAGCTGAGCTGCTGCTCTTATGCGTTTCTGGTCGTGAGGATGAGGATCCTTTTAAAAATTGAGGGTTCTTTTTCCTCTCTTTTTCATTCTTCCAGGTATCCTCTTCCCACTCTTCCAGTTCCCGGAAGGAAGGAAGCTTCCCACCATCATGGTCTAACTTCCTCCGCTGATGTCGGGTATGCGGAGGAGTTCGATCACGAGGTGGTGGCATATTTTGTGCCCTCATCGTCTCCATGAGTACTGCCAGCGCTCTTGCCACCTCTTCCGAGCTGGGCCCCGTCAAAGGGGTCCTCGACCGAGTATGGGAATGAGGGCGCACAGCCGATGGTTGGCTTTGGGGCACTGAATGTGTCCTATGATCGGACTCACCCCTGCTAGACCGAGAGTGACTCGGCCTATGATGAGAGTCATGAATTACGGGAGAAAGGGAATCCTCCTTGTATGATCCTCCCCCCGAGCTGGCACCCTTGGGAGAGTTCCGGTCCGGCGAGGGTGATGGTGTAGGGGTTTTAGGCTTTTCGTCCGCTCCTTGACGGAGGCTTTTGCTCTTGCGGTTCTTAGCCATTGGTACTAAGATAATTGCAAGATGATCTTGGTTAGAAATTTGGCTTAAAGATTTTTGAAAGTCTTCCCCACAGACGGCGCCAAATTGTTTCGGGTGAAAACAATGGGACCTTGCCGAAGGTCCGCTGAAACGGAGAAGACTAGATTCGGTCCAAGTTATGTTGGGCCGAAGGTTTCCTGCACAGTAAACACACGTAAACTAGCCTCGAGGGTGTTGCCGAGGAAGGCTCCTCCGATGCTAAAGTCAGTACAATGTGTAGAAAGAGAACACTATGCAAGAGAATTTGTTGCTTGAGGCTTTTCTTGAGTTATGAGAATATGTGAATGAATGTGACCATATGAATCAATCTGTATATATGTTGATGGCTTTTATACCTCTTCATACATGGAGAAGTTGAGCCTTAGCCCAATTGGCTTGCTTTGAGGGCTGACCTTTGACTTTAGCACAATTGGAGAGTTGAACCTTGACCTTGGACTTTTAATTGGATCATTTAATGCCTAGGCCCAATTGGACTAAATTGGACCCAAACACTAACTTATTGTTTATGTCTCTTAAATTGCGTCTTCTTTTAATAAAACAATGGAGCAAGTTTGTATAATTATTGATGTTGATGTTCGTTTATAAATTAGGGAAATGGGGTTTGCTTTTTTTCTATAAAGTTGTTGATTTGTGGCTTTGTGCTGCTAGTTTTTTATTTTTGAGATAGAAATGAAAATTTTGAAGTGGGTATTTTTTATTAGAAGATAATTTTGTAAATATATTTTGGTTTATCTTTTCCTTATTAATTTTCTGTTTTGATATTTTAGTCAATGTTTCTATATTAGCTCCACTAATTTAGCCATAATTCTAGGACTAGATCAAGCTACTGATTTTCCTTAAGTTGTTACTTTTGTATTCTATATATACGGCTATCAAAGCCTTGTGAATATCAATCAAGAAATTATAATTAGGAAAAGATGAACCAAAATATATTTACAAAATTATCTTCTAATATTGTTTGTTGGGCTCAAAAATTGATGTGTGAATCGATATGAAGATGGTTTGGGTATCTAGGAAATATTATTAGCTCTGCAATGTGAATTTGATTGTGACTTAAGACATGGATTTTCAATGTGCTAAGACCTGAACTTGGTTAACGGAATAGATTGAGCTAGTTTTTCCCCCTTACTTTCAATATAGTCTGGTATACTCGAAATATTGAACGGTCGAATTTAGCGAGGTTTGATAACAGAATCCAATGTGCTTTATTGTTTGGAACATAGGTACCGGATTACCGATGTAGTATATACTATATAGCATGATAATTTTTATTGGTTGCCACACTTTCTAGTTATATATTTAAATGCTTTTTGAAAGGTTTTATATTGTATATATGTTATTCATTGTTGCAGTAAGCTTCAGAGTGAAGCGGTGAGGGAAGCTATATCTGGTATTGCAAATGATGCCAAGGAGAAGAATCGCAAGTTCACTGAGACAGTGGAGCTCCAGATTGGGCTGAAGAATTATGACCCACAGTAAGCCGTTTCACTGATAGGTTTGGAATGGATGGATGTTGAAGCGTTGAAGAAGCTCAACAAGAACAAGAAATTGGTTAAGAAGCTCGCAAAGAAGTACCATGCTTTCCTTGCTTCTGAAGCAGTCATTAAGCAGATTCCGCGTTTGCTTGGTCCCGGTCTTAATAATGCTGGTAAGTCTATATAGTGATCTGATTATTGATGTATGCTTGTAGGATCATATGTTGACTATATGACTTAGAACTTGTGCTATGAGTTTGGTCTGCTCTCCTAAAGAACTAGCCAAGTAGCTACGGCATAGGCCGCCTTCATATAGCATGCACAATCTTTTAGATCCTGATGGTCATGTGTGCCTTTAGCAGTGAGCAATACTCTTCTTTTCTTAATTCTTTTACTAATGGGTATCATTTGGGTTGCCTTTTCAGGTAAGTTCCCTACACTTGTCACCCACCAGGAACCCCTGGAGAACAAAGTGAACGAGATCAAGGCAACCGTCAAGTTTCAGCTTAAGAAAGTTCTCTGCATGGGAGTTGCTGTTGGTAACCTTAGTATGGAAGAGAAGCAGATTTTCCAAAACGTTCAAATGAGCGTCAACTTTCTTGTTTCATTGCTGAAGAAGAATTGGCAAAATGTGGGTCTTTTATGCCTATGTTTTTGTGAAACTGTTGTATATGGTCATTTGTTGTTCATCTTCTCAGTTGTATAACAATTGCATTGCAATGCGAGAGTGTGCATTGTTTGAATCCTACCCAGAGTGACTTACTGGTATTGTTTATGTTTTGGCAGGTCCGGTGCCTATACTTGAAGAGTACCATGCATGGGCAAGCCATACCGCATCTTCTGAAACAGCCCCTTTTACCGTTGGTTGAATGGCGTAGGAGTTGGAAGTTTTGTTTATTGCCTTTTTGTTATTTTCTTCATTGTTCATTTAAACCCTGTTCCTTGTGTGAGTTGATATGTTATTCCTCAGGAAGAATTTTGAAGATACATGTTTATTGTATTGTTAGTCTTTTTACACATATATGTTTGCAAAAAATTTATATTGGTCTACTAGTATTTGATGGCTATATTGGCTCAGTATTTCAGTAATAGGAGGATCCAATAATGACTACTTCTAGGGAGGTGTCTAATGATTTTCTGTCGTACTTTTGAAGAAATTCCTCTTTGGAGCACTTTGCGGGATATAACTATTGCCAAACTCATTGTCAATCCTGCAATATTTTATGCACAGTTAGTATGTTATCCTTCATGTATATTTAAATTTAAAACTATTATATGAGTTATAATATGAAATAACCTACTCTTGAAGAAATTGTTTTTTTCCATATCTTCGTTGTAAAATATTTTTGTGGAAAACAATGAGTTTGACAGTGTTAATTCACCTGATTACATTGAAGTGTAATTTATATGCATAATATTATCGGGAAAAGTATATATGGAAAACGAACTTACCTCTCCATTCTTTAATTTATCTTTGCAAATTGCATGATAATAATAATGACATGTCCAGAATTATTTGCCTCCAGAAACCTTAAAGTTTCTTCAGCATAATTTATATGCATAATATTCAGAGTGCACTTGATTGTTTTTCTCCTTATATTTTTTTTGTTTTTTCAAATTTTTTTTTAAAAAAACATTTATAACATGTAATAATTATATATTTAAAATTGCAATATTAAAAATTTGATCGAACGAAAAACACATACTCTATGTCATTGAGTTCCATGATAAGCTTATTTGAGTCTCTACCGTTTCGTTTAATAGGCTCAAGGCAATCAAGGGGGCCAAATTTGTTTATTTGCGCAGCAATATCTGTTTAAATGAATCATTATACCATAAAAAAGATAATAATATTTTCACAAATTGGATACAATGAGAGACAAATTAGATATAGATATAGATTTAGATAGTGAACAATAGAAAAATTATCATAAAAGGAATCTAGATAAACAAGGGTAAAAATATATTATTATTATAAGGATGAATGGGCCTCCCTAAGTGCATCAACCTATTTACTTGAGGAAGAAGTCGTGAATTCCACCCTAATAAATAGTACTTGTTGCGGTTAATTTGGGTTTGATTGGGAGCGGTTGTTGGTTGGAATTACTAATAATGGCGTATGAAGGAATGGAAAAACCGGCAGAGTCGGTGTTTCAGCTGACAGCGGATGAGGTTGGAACGGCATTCAGTTTGGGCACGGTGGGCGGTTTCGCGTACCACTTCGGAAGGGTAATATATTCGGGGCGGCGTAACTTCAACTTGAGGAGGGCCTTCAGGTTGGCGTGCCACAGGGGACCCCAGGTCGGTGGGATTGGCGCTGTGGCTGCCGCTGCAGCAGTCGCCTACCAAATTGCAGACGTCTCAATTCGTCAGGAGAATGATCTTTACACCATGTTCTTCAGTTTCGCCACCGGGGGTGCTGCTGTCGCGGCTTAACATGGGATTCGACGTGCTTCGCTCTCCGCCCTCTGTTTCGGAACTGGTTTTACCGCCACCGTGCATTGGTTACGACTCCTGCGCAAGGAGGAGGATAAACTCAACTATTTGGATGCCAACAGCCTTTCTGCTCCTCCTCATTAGAACCAGAACCAACTCTTTTCTTTCGCATAAACTTATTGTTTATGTCTCTTAAATTGCATCTTCTTCTAATTTACTCTTTAATAAAACAACGGAGCAAGTTTGTATAATTATTGATGTTGATGTTCTTTTATAAATCATACTTTTATACTTTTCTATTATGATGAGTATTGTATTGATTTTAATCCTATCTCTGGTTGGATTCGGTTCTAGAGTTGGAGTTGATGGTTAAAGCCCAAACCAAACTAAAAGGCTTACTATGTTCAATTTCATGTCTGTGTTTTACTTTCCCTCTCCAGTTGCAGTTGTGAGATTGGCTTTAGTCAATCTCGCGTTTGCAGCAGGTAATTGCTGTTAAAACTCTTGCATTAGCATCCGGCGAGTTTGTACTCGTATTAGTAGATGACTTATAAATCAGAAACTGAATGAGAAACTTGCTGACCAGTGTTCTTTTTTTTTTTTTCCAACTATCTTGCCTGATTTGTACAAATCAGCAGATTCAGGTTTGCCTGATTTGTACAACAATTTAATGCATTTTATTCAAAACTACTCACAACCAGATTTTTTTTTTTTTTTTTTTTTTTTTTTTTTTTTTTTTTTTTTTTTTTTTTTTTGCATTCCTGCTTTTGATTTAGCTCTCTTAGTTGCTAATTCTTCCCAATCCTTATGTGGAGAGCATTCAAGTATGTTCTGAAAGACGCTGGTGCATCTGTGGATGACATATCACAAATACCAACGCAATAGCAACATCTTTGAATATACTATTTGGGTCCCCATCAACAACAAATAATGAAAATTCCAAATGCGATGACTATTAGCTCGAAATTGAGTGATTAAGGTCTTTCCTCTTGAACTGGTTTGGATGGAAGCTCGATGATGAATTTCCTCATTTAAGAAAGCTTTCGATTCTTAAATTAGGAAATTCTAATCATGGTCGGGCTTTCATTTGTCAATTGTGTCCCTCTCCCTGATCCCCTGCCCTTGACTAATCCCCAACTCCTCTCTGATCTTCTACCACTCCCTGTTCCCCTGCCTCTCCCTGATCCCTTGCCTCTCCCCGATGCCTTGCCCCTCCTTGGCTTCATAGACTCCAAGCCTGACTCAAATGGTTCAATTTCAATGTCTCTCCAATACTCCCATGTTATCAAAAATAATGTCATTCATGGCAGTAGGTGATGGTGGTGCCATGTTACGCCCAACATCACAGACATAACGTCAGGAATGTTAGAGTTGACTGAGTGGGTGAATTGACTTTGAACAGCAGTACAATCAGGGTGGATTTCAATTACTTGGGGCATAAGTCTAGGACTCCTCCTAGGTGTTGTGAGTGTTTGGTGTTTTTGAGGGGGTTTTTTTTTGCATTTGGTTCTGTTATGGGTGATGTTTGGGAGTGTTCAGGTTCTACAAGTGGAATTCTATCTGACTCACTTCGTTCATTCACTTCCCTTAAATGAATTGCAGCTTGTACAACAGGCGAGGGTTTGTCTAACTCACTCACCCAAATGTGGATTAGGTCTCTCTTAAGTATGTCTGAGAACATCTTAAGCAAATGGACATAAGTGGTTAATGGCTCGTGTTTCATTTTGTGTAAGTACGTGAAACTTGGGAACTTAGGAACAGGGTTCTCTTCCTTACCAGCTGCCTCCCCAAAGTCATTAATCAAGTACAAAAGGCTTACTTTGTCTACATCATCAACAACAACATCTGTGTCTTTTCCCTTGTATTGAAACCTTAAAACTAAATTATCCCCCATTTCCAATCACAACCTGAACAAACAACAAAAAATAGAACCATGTGAAAAACAAAACACAACCCAACATCAAAATATTAAAAAAAAGAAAAAAAAAAACTTTTAAGTTATGCCCCTTAACTTCTTCGGTTTCTAAGCTGTGTTCATATTTTTTCAAACGTCTAAGTTGTGCCCTCAACCTCACTTTTTTTAATTAGCAATAACCTTGACGTTAACATTAATTAACGGACATTAGGGTTTGTTAATTTTCGTTGCTAGTTACTCTACCTTAACCACCTAAACTGGTCGGCTGGTACTGTACCTCCCCATCTCATCGACCCCTGAGCCCCTCCCTTTCCCCTAACCTCCGCTACATCCACCTTCTTTCTCGAAACCCCAACCAACCGACCACCCTCATTCCTCCGTTAAACCACCACGAAACAACCCCCAACTCCCTTTCCCACACCCCGAAACAACGAGGTAGAGTCATTTTGAGGCGGGGGAAGGGATTGTTGGCTGTTTCGCAATGGTTGTGTGGTCAATTTTTCTAGGCTGCTCGGTTTACTAGGCTAGGTTGCATCACGTGGTTGTGTTCGTTGAGTGTTAAGGAAGGAAGGAGGGCGAGGCTCGCCGGCGGGAGGAATTTTCTGGGCGAGGGTGGACAGTCGATTGCCGGCGGCGATGAAGTGGACTGATGGGCTGGGTTGTGGTGGTGGGAGGGTGGTTGGTTTTTTTCCAAATCAATTCTTAATTAAGTTTTAATTATTTTATTTTCTGATTTTTTAGTTTTTTGTAAAGTGTTTGACCAATTAGAACAGGACACGTGTCAAATTATTAACGCCTCTTAACTTTCATTAACGATTATGGCTGTCAAAGGATATTGTTGATAATGGAGGGCACGGCTTATAACTTTGAAAAAGTATGGGTACAGCTTAGAAATTTAATAACTTGGGGGCATAGCTTAGAAAAACCCTTTTTTTTATTTTCCTTTCTTTTCTTACCTTTTCTCCTAATCACATGTTATTTCTCTCTCCTACTTTTACCAAATTACACTTTTATCCATCATTAACAAATTTTGCCAAAGTTCAATTGTTGCAACTAATCCATAACAGAGGGACGCTACTAGAAAATAAGCCATTTTCGACGGAAGAATTCCGTCGGAAACACCCTAAATTCCGTCGGAAACACCCTAAATTCCGTCGAACCGGTTGTCGGAAGCACTTTTGTAGGAAAAATGACCTTTTCTGACGGAAATTCCGTCAGAATTAGGTCGTCGGAAGAGGATTTCCGGCACCGGAAAAGTCCGTCGAAAATTTCCGATGAACACAATTCCGTCGGAAATCTTACCCAGAAAATAAAAAAAAAGCCCCCCACCCTACACCATCACCACCCCACCGCCTCACCTTCCCCTTAACCACCACCACTCCCCACCGGCCCCCACCACTCCTCCAGCCCCAACCTCAAACGAACCATGACCACCCCCAGCCCCCACCACTCCCCACCAGCCCCCACCACTCCACCAGCCCCAACCTCAAACCATGACCACCACCAGCCCAAACCTCACACCACGACCACCGTTCACCACAAAAAAAAAAACCGAAAATAAAATTAACCACCAAAATCGAAAAAAAATCAAAAATAAAATATGAAAATTAACACAAAAAAATCGAAAAATACAACACAAAAAAAATCAAAATCAGTAGATCTAACAAAAAAAAACGAAAATTAAACAACAAAAATGATAGGAAATACAATTATCTAATCAAATTTATAATTAACATTACAATTACATTAAAAATTAACTAGATCTCAATCTAACCTAAATTAAAAATAGATCTACAAAATAATAACCTTGAGAGTGGGTGACGATGGT